GTGGGGGGGGGGGCTGTGGGGAGCTTTTAATTTTAATAACAGATTTTGTGGTTTTTATTAGAGAATTTGTGATTTTTTTTTTAGCAGAGAATTTGTGATTTTATATCAGAGAAAACCAGGATCCCTGATATAAAACCAGGGAAAACCAGGATGACAATGTGATGGGGGGATGAAGTCAGGGAGCTGTAGGTACTTAGCACCCTGAAAATCGGGCTGGCTATAACTCTTTCAAGACACCGAGTACAAGCAAGGTGCAATGTGTCTGATCCTCAGCTGATACAGCTTGTCCCAGCTTCATGAATGCAATCCATCTTCAGCTGACTTCAGCAGAGCTATGACCATTTATATCAGTGAAAGATCTGTCCTGTCCCGTCCCGTGTCCGTCCCCGCACCATCACTAGATTCGTAAGTCATACATAGGTTTTACATAGGTGTCCATAGGTGATAAACTTTGTCTACTGGCTTATTTCAGGGTTTCTCATAAATTGGACTGGGATTAATTGTTATTATAGGGTCTCCTGGATGTATAGGCTGGTTTGTTCCTATAGGGTTGCTGTGAGCCCTGTTGGGGTAGTGGCTTTGGGGTTTTTTTAAGGATTGCCATTTAATTAAGAGAGCACGAAGCAATTGTTTCCTTGGGGAAAGTCCCCAAAAGCACACTGGTCCCATTTGCTGGTTTGTCTGCCTTGGCAGGGGCCCTTTCAGCAGTTGCCAGGCTGGAACAGAATGCTCCTAGCTTACATTTTGTGCCAGATCTTGGTCCAGAGGGTGCAGAGCTACAGCTCACTTTGCAGAGACTTTACTTTGATCCTGTCTTTGGTGTGGGTGAATCTTGTGCAGGCTTTCTTAGCCCCATAGCACAGGAACTCTTCCAAGCCACCTGGCCTGCGTCTGTGCTCCTCATAGATCTGCTCTTCTCCTGACTCACCGAGGTAGCTATGGCACATCATGTATAACCTGCAGCAGTGAGAGAGATGGAGCGAGGCATTCACGTTATTACAAAAGCAGTCACCCCCACCCCCAACCTTGCCTGGTGCACCATCACAAAGTCTTGCAAGCGTCTTCCTTTATGCATGAGCTGTGTGCAGGGTGTGAAAAAATGCTGTGGTGTGTTAGCTCTGTGATGCAGTTTCCTTGTGGGATGCTGTTGCAATCAGCAAGAGCGATTACTCTCCAATTGGCTGCAGTTCCTGAGGTGGAGCTGGTTCCTGAAAGAGGGGGTTTCCTAGGCACAGATTGGGATCACCTCTCCTTAAAACCTGGTGTCTCCAGCCAGGTTGCCAAGCCTCACATTTTCTATATAGGTTGGGCTTTTTGCCAGGCTAGAGCCAGTTTTGCCATGATACAAGAAACTCCTAACTCTTGCAAATCTCAGCCCTGCCCATGGGAACCCTGCTCCATGACTGCCTGCCTGCCCTATTCTGCTACCTCCTGGGGAAGAGCAGACAATTGGAGTTACTTCAGGAGCAGGCAGAAATCTTCCACCTCCGTTCAGGAGCAGACACTGCTCTCACCGGGGCAAAAAAGGAGAGATAAGAGCAGAAAAAGCCCAGCCACTCAGCTCAGGGTAACTCTGCTCCAGCTTCCATACCTGGGAGCAACAGAAAAGGGGCCTTGCTCCTCCCTGCTCTCTCTCTATTCAACAGTCAGCCTGGGAAGGGGGAAAG